GGAAAAAATTTTTCAAAATACATTTATTCTCTTTCTGCCCTTTAGGTTTGCCATGCATTATTCTTTGTTTGAAATTAGCATTCGTTTCTCTCTTTTGTTGCATTTGCCTGATAAATATTTGCACATCTCTTCATTTACAGTTTTCCCTTGATAGTCTGATTTTTATTGTAACTCTGCTGTTTTTATGGGTCTTAGTATAATACGTTACACAGTGCTTGGTTTGTCTCTTGTTTATCTTGTTGTAAATTCAAATTTATTTTACAGGGTTTCCACTAGGGGTGGATATGGACCATTCATCTTAATAAATACCATACATGAGAAACATAGTTCTGGGAAAACAACTGTACTCAAAGCAGAGACTGTGTCTCTGCATGTGTGGTTGAGAAAATGCTGAGATAGGGAACCAAGCATCAAGTGTTTTTACATTTGCTGTTTCTGACTGGAATTGGGGAACCCTTATCTTCACCCCCAGAAGCAGTAGGGGAGGTAATGTGCTTTGTGGAAGTGTCTGTAACATGAGTAATAACAGCATCTCTAGTAAATCCAATTTTGTGGGCTGATTACTGGGAACATTTTCTTAACGGTCTTTCTGGATCAGCTAACACCTTTAACTTGGACAAGATATAAAACTTACAGTATGACTAAGGGATATATTTAAAAACTCAAAGTGACACAAAAGTGCCACAGATGCATATTTAAAATCTACAAGTGATCTTTTACCTGGTTTTGTATAGTAAAGAATGACTGGGTTTAAAATTTAAGTTCCTGCACACAAACGGTTCAAGCCAAAGTGACCACATTGTATTATCACACACCATTTATCATCTTCAAAGATATTCCTCTCTACAACTGAGAGCTAGAAAATACTTCAAGCATCAAGCTTGCGAGTAGCTGCTGTAACTGGAGTGAGACTGTGTTGCCTGTGGAAATCAATTAAATTGAAGTGAGCCAGTTAAGTGAATGGCGGATTGTCACTGCTAAAATTCTTACTACTTCCAGTGACTTCTTTCCACACACATTCTAATTCATCACAGATCCCATCCCACAAGTGATGGGAAAAGCACACAGCGTGGATTCTGACATTCTTCATTGCTAAAGCACCTACACAATCCAAGGATTCTCAGAGCATACACAGTGAACTCCTCATGTGTTTGGGTTTGAATGCTTTTATCCACAGTGAGCTCCTATCACAAAAAGAATCTTATACCTAGAATTTAGCTGATTAATCACATCAAAAATATCTTTGAATATCCCTAAATTCAGACTTCAATTGCCAGGTTCCAGGTGTTTAGATAACAGCCAATGATGTTCTTCTATTTCTCTTAAACTTTGGACAATTACTTCCCTTTTCCTACTTGTGGAAAATAAGCTGTATTTAAAGTAGGAAAAGAAAGATGTTACGTAGGTGTAAATAACGGAATCTCTTTTTCTCCCCCCACCCCCTGCAGACTGAGTGCATACAATGGCTGGATAAATACAGGATATATACAGGATATTACCATATCTGTATTGCTTGACCTGAGTCTCTTATTCCACTTTACATATGGCACACTGCACATGTGCTAATATATACATTCTCTGCATAGAGAATGCTATAGGGACATAGGTAGATATTGGCAAACAGTAGAGAAGGCTGCATTCCAGAGACCAGTGTGTACTGGATCTCAGAAAGGAGAGAGCAAGGCAAATACAAACACTAATGTGAAAAGAGATCAGATAATAAGGAGCATAGACTCAGGAGATCCGCTCACCCACAGGCATCTTTCAGTAGGCAACAGTGCTCTAGAACTCTGGTGCCTCTGAACACAAATCCCACTTCTTGAATCACCCACACCAAACCTTTAAAGACATGCTTAGCACACAGTCCTGCTTAAGTGGAAGCCTTTGGCTGCTGATTTAATTAAAGAACTTCAGCATGTCCCACGGGCACAGGCTGAAGCACTTCTTTGGACCTAGACTTCTCCTTTGTGCCAATTTTCTATAGATACTTGGTTTTAATAAGCTTTTCTGAATATATAATTCTGACCTTGCAGAAACCTGTGACTAGTATTGTCAAACTCCTTTGGCACAAAGCACAAGTCTAACTAATACATCTGGTCTAAATTATTGGAGCTTTCTGAATTTATGAATTTTTTTCCCTAAAAGATATGTGCTTCCAAAAATGAATAAGTAATGAATACCTAGTATAGTCCCAAAGACAACTGACTGAATTGGTTCAGAGTGGGGGATTTTCTATAACCTAAACCACCCCTCCATTTCAAAAACTTGGCTCTTACTATCTACCTGTCTGGGTAACTTCTTCACTCAACAGCTTCTTTGCTCACATTTTACTATTTTGGAAAACAAGGAATACATCTATGAACATACTGGGAAATAAAGGCAAGCAGACTATCTAGGGATTAATGTGCACGCTGCAATGAATACAGAATCAGAGGGCGAGAGCTGTTATATAATTCCCTTCTCATGCAATAGAAAACAGATTTACTTAATTGCTTGTGCTTAAGGGCAATGTCATCTTGCATGGCTTACTGTTTTATACTGATGGGAGAATATTAAGTTACTAATGGCATAAGTCTATAAAAAAATTCATAGGCCATGAACTAGCATGTTAGAGAAGGAACAGAATTGGCAAGCAATGGCACTAATTTATGAAATTCCACGTTTCGGATGCTTGACTCTTCACAGAGATGATTTTATGCTTTCTGCGAAGCCCATCAGTGCCATGTAAATCAGGAGAGTTAAATTACATTATCAACCCCAATGTTCTTAACTACAAGTTCCTCTTCTAGAGAGCAACTATCGAGTTCAGCTTTTGAGCCTCTCTTTGTGGCTGTGGGATGCATGTTACAGACAAACTGCTTTGGATATTCAGTCTTGCAATACACATTTATTCAGCATTAAATAAGACAGAGAGTGCCATATTGGATGGAATATTACCAACAGCTTAGAATCCAGCTGATAAATCTAAAGCATAATCAGCTACATTATATGGCAAAGATAATTAATATTTCAAACTGAATTTTTTAAAAAAGAATTAGCTATTGATGGACACAATACCTTTATTTTATTTATTTATTTTTATGCAGTGCTGAGGATCAAACCCAGGGCCTCACATGTGCCAGGCAAGGGCTCCACCACTAAGCCACACCCTTGGCCCCTCAAACTGAATTCTTGATTTAAGAATTAAGTTAGGAGAACAGCTAGGCTAGAGAAGAAGCCTTTCCTACCCTGAGTAAAGGACCCTCAGGGGAGTGACATGTGAACTTTTTACCCCTCCCACACCTTCCATCCAAAAAGGAGAAATTTCAAAAGACTACGGAGCAGCAAGTCGGCTGAAAATATTGGCACAAGCCTTTTCCTGTTGTGATAAAAGAAACCAGTCACAATTTTTAAAAGTGGGAGGCACTTAAATTTATAGTAAAAGAAAGGCTAAGGGACTATACCAATTAAGAATGTTCTCCAAAACTTTGATTCAGTGAGAACAATTAGAAAACTAATACTTATAAAATGAAATAAAGCAAAAAAAAAATTAGAAAACAGAAATGGTACTGCAATTGAACATAATTCTAGGTAGATGTCTAATATCTCAGTTTTCCATTTTCTTTAAAAAATTTTCTCTTTTTCATACTGATATCCTGGAATTGCCTTAGCAAAACCCCAAAGTGGATGGCTTAAAGCAATAGATGTATGTCGTCTCACGGTCGTGGCAGCCAGAGGTCTGAAATGTGGGTGCTGGTATGGCCCTGCTCCCTCCAGAACCTGTAATTCTGATTTCTTCCTTGCCTGTTCTGGCTTCTGGTGCCGCAGGAACTTCTGGGCCTGTGCAGCATAACTACACTTCTGACTCCTCCATGGTCTCATAACCTTCTTTCCCCTGTGTGTCTGCATCTCTCTGTGCCTCTGTCTACAGAGCCTTCTTTTTATAAGGACATCAGTTATGTGCAAGACCTCAGATTGATTTTACTAAATTATTTTTGCAATAACCTTTTATTTCCAAATAAGGGTCATATTATGAGGCATTGGGCATTAGGAGTTTAAAACATATGAGAGAGGACACCCTCAAATTCCTAGCATCATCGTTAAAACTGTATAATATCCTGATATGTTAATATACCTGTATAGGCATATACTTATATTTAATAAGGTGTTGCCACATGAATGTATTTGAATTGACCCTGATATGTTTTTCTGCTTCAGTGGATGCCTACACGGTAAATGCATAAGGACAAACCCAGGCTTGACATCTCCATACAGTAGGAAGTTTCCGAGTCAAGGCACTAAGATGGCAGGTTGGCTGGCCCTGCTATCCTAAAGTTACACACATGCAGCCAGTCGATGGTCAGCCTTGGAGGCTCACCAACACTGAGCCATTATCCAAGTGCCAATTTTTCCTTGAGATCTGTGACTTTTATTTATTTATTTATTTTTAACACGGAACCCTCACCAATGAGGAGGCACAATGGAACGGAACCCTGAAGAAGACACACAGATCTGGGCTTGAAGTTCCACCAGTAACCAGATAAGGGACTCTAACAAAGTTTCTGTACTTTTCAAGTCCTCAATTTGTACACCTGTACAATGAAGAGTCTTATGCTGTTGTCCAGAACAGCTACCAGGAACACTGGGGCGGGGCACTCAGATTAAATACTTATCAAATGTGACTTACCCCCAGTCCATCATAATATGACCTGTTGGAACTAAACACCTGTGTGAGAGTAACTTCCATGTCCTAGGATACTAACCACAACCTCTCATGAAGAATAGCATTTAGTATAAGTGCGACATGCATCAGTTTTAATTAAAATTACAGGTTGAAGTAAATGTGCTCAATTTCTGGTAATTACACAAACAAAATTATATCAAAACAGAATTGAGACACTAGATTCACTCATTTCATATGCATTTCTAGGGCATCACCTATGGGCCTGATGGGTTTTTTAAAGGCCACGTGTTACAGACTTGAGCAATAGAAAAAGGATGACAAAAATGTCATGACTTACCCCACCAACTTTCTCAAAGTGAGATCCATCTTTCTTAAAATCCGTGAGGGCCCCGTTGAAATACCAGGTAAACATAATGTCTAAAAGCGGATCGTGTTGTGCCTGGCAGGGCAAAATGACGCTTTCACCCACAGAAACGTCCATGTTAGATGGCGCCAGCGTTATCCTAGTTGGTTCTATTAGGGAGATAATTCATAAGTAAAACTTTAGCATTTCTGTTGTGATGAAAGCCATATGTACAGGTAAATTCTTCATCCACCTTTGAGTGTGTTGTGTGCTTTTATATGCTTAGGTATACACACACACCTATGCAATGAAAAGTCTCCATGGTTAAAATAGATGTTTTAATGCAGTCCTATAATACATTTCATGGGATCCACCAAATCTTGTGAAAATAATTAGCATTTCTGAGTTTACAGGTTACAAAAGTTTAAGATGAAAGTCACCAGGAAGCAAGAGTTATAATAAGACTGAAAAATCCATTTCAACTTAGTTTTTGGGTTTTGTGAAATATAGTGGGAGAAACAGAAACTACTGTGTTTTCACAAACTTTCAATGACTAAAAAACACATTAACATCAAAATTCAAATAGACTCAAACCTTTGATGTGTACGTGGATTTGAAAAGCTTAGAATAAGCTTAGAGATGCTTAGAATAAGCGCAACGGGAGGGCACTCTGCTAAAATGTTAACTGATGTCGTTTTCTTCCCCAGTGGAAATGTCCGTGGCACATTCTGCCTGCCCTTACCATGTACCTTCCATCTTTTCTGAATTAAATTTCCTTGCTCCAATTTTCCCAGTGCCATTCCCCTTGATGTTACACCATGTGGCAGCAAATGTCTTCAAAAGTCACTTGCATATGTGGTCTGTACTTGCTTGATTAAATAGCCTCTTTAACCCAGTAGTTGGGCATAGGTCTCCCTGACCAACCTGTTCTCATCAAGGTCCCCTGCTATGAGACCCAATGATAAAGTCTTGGTCTCATTATTTGAGCCTCTAAGCTCTTTCACACTTGATGGCTGGTTCTCCCTTGTACTTTTTCCTCAGCTGGTTTTGGGACATCACGTTCCTGCAGTTTTATTTACTGTCCTGGTCACTCCTTTTCTGTATCTCTCTTTATGGTCTCGCTTCTGCTACTATATTTCTTAATGTACAATGAATGTGTCAAGCTCAGTCCTTTTTAAAATTCTTTTTAAGGTGATCTCAGATGGTGTCTTGGCTTCAAGTCCTCATCTATATGCCAACAACTGTGAAAGGTATCTCTTCATCTTTGATTTACCCAAGTCCAAGGTCATCTATCCAACCACCTACTCACTGTCTCCACTTAGGTGTCAGTCACCATTAGTTCCCATAAAGTACATTGTAGGATTAAATTCTTAACTCTTTTGAATTAAGGCAGAGCAGAGTACAATGCTTTGGCTGATGAAATGTATGTAGGAGTTACATGTAACAGCGACAGGCAGAATTCTGCAGGAACTAATAGGTAATGTGATGTATCTCCTTCCTGTTCTGTGGTGACGTGCACTGTCCCAGATGGTGGAGACACTGGGGGTCTTTGTTCTTGAATGAGGAAGCAATGCTGACTCACTGAGGACTTGCAGTATGCATGAAAAATGAAGCCAGGCTATTTTAATCCACTGAGATTTTGGCAAATCTCTGATCTGCTTTACAGGGAAAGATCCTAACGATATTCTAAACATCCAAACTATGCTCATGCTCTTCTTTCACCCCAAAGCTTTGAAACCCACAGCCTGAGCAATCTCAGCTGTTCTTCCATTTTTTTCCATTTGTTCACCACACACCCTGCAGTCCCTCCTGACTCCTTTCCGAGACCTCAAATCCAATTTGTAAACACCTTCTCCTTCAGAATATATGCAGAATCTTATCCCATCCCATCAGCTCCTCAGCTGCCAATCTCACTTGGATCATCATCACCTCCTGCTGGTTAACAGCCATGGGCTCCTGAGACTTTGAAAAGCAGCTAGGGTCACCCTTTCACATCATCTTATTTCTCTGCTGAAAACCTTGCAGTAGTTCCACTTTTCAATCCAAGTGAAAACTGAAGTCTTAGCAAGATCTACAATTGGTCCACATAACTGCACCCTAGAAATCTCCTGGTAAACTCCTTTATCTCCCTGGAGTCTTTGTACCAAAATTTCCATCTCACTTATCTTGATTCATGCTCTAACTCATCTTTCTTCATATATTCTCTTTACTTTTCTCAATTGTTTGCAGTATGCTTCCTTCTAATGATCTCCTTATTTCTTCTTTCTAATTTTCATTTCTCTATCTTGGGCAGAATGTAAGAAGGATGACTACAGATTCTGTTTCAATGTTTCCACTGATCCAGCTCAAACAATGGGTACATAATAGGTGCTCAATTTTTTTTCCTGAATGGATAAATGAACAAAATTAACCCAAAACTTAAATCTTATCGATATCAACAGTTATTTGATGAGCTTGAACGTCTCCAGAAAAGATCAATGAAAAAGAGAGCACACCTAAAAGATCTGACCCAATAGAAGAACATAAAATAAAAGGAGATTATCAGCATATGCCATTTTCCCATCATCCCAGCACAGTAGCCAAGGTACCCCGCCATGTTCACTGTGCTGTGCTATAGAAGTATACAGTGTCATGTTCTTGACCATCACTTGTTAAAAACACAAGCGCAAACACAGTTTCTACCTTCACAATGTACCACATTTTGTGGAAAACACATGGCCAGTTTCTTTAACCACAATAGTAATATATGTCATGAAACGCATCTCTGATAAACCCATCTTGACGAAACACACGCACCTGTGACTACCAACTGTGTTGTCCCGTTGGCTTTCCCAAACTGGTTTTCTGCTGTGCAAGTATAGGTTCCTGAGTCAGCCTTTGTCACGTTGTCTATTTTGAGTCCTCCATCTTTTAAAAAAGAAAATCTAAAGGAAACGTACATTTGATCAATAAATGTGTAATAGTAACTTTTTTTTCAAAAAATAAATAGTAATTATTTTTCAGAATTTATTATCTTATGCTAATACTGTTAAGGCCTGATAAACTAAGCCTTGGCCTTTTAGGAATAAAGAAAAGGAAAAGAAAACATGCACAGATATACAGAGTTGAATAAGAAAAGATGCTCTACCAAATTGAACTTTGCATAATGTTTTTATGCAGCATCACTAAACAGCATCACTTAACATTGCACCTAATTTGTAAATGCCTTTATCAAATAAGTGTGAAATGTTTTCCAAAAATATATATTGTGGTAGATTATTCATGGGGTAGCCTTGTAAGTTTTCAGAAAATAAATAAGGGAATGACCTCATTTCCCTTAAATTTGAAAAAATATATGAAAACCAGGAAACCTGCTTGTCTTTCACTATGAACTTGGAAAGTCACAATTGACTTAATAAAAATTCAAGTGTTGTAAAACATAAAAATTGTGTGGTCATCTATGAGCTATTGTAAAGATTCTGAAAACTTTGATTAATATTACTTTTAAGTTTTTGAGCATCCATTTGAAACACTTAAAGCTTTAGCATCTTACTAATTGATCAAGGAAATATTATAAGTGTCTTATATGCAACAGGCACTCAGAAAGTCCCTGGGGTTTTTTTTTTATCTATAGATAAAAAGTCTCCATCTTTGTGGAAATGACAGTCTACTAGAATCACAGACATTAAGCCACTAAGTAAATGTGAAAAGTTCAGAGATTTGAGAAGTATTCTGAAGGAGAGAAAGAGGGTGAAGGAGAATTACTTTATGTGAACTTCCAAGGTAGGGGGTTTCAGAAGTCCTCTTAGAAGGGGAGTCACTTGCACCAAGAAAGAACAAGATAGGATTAACATCTCTCATCCGTCTGATCCTTGTACCTTTGTTGCCCAACTTGTCTACTCATGATTATATTCTCTCTCTTTGAATTCCTAAAATCATTATATCTATACTATCTACTGACAACTGAGAAGGGCTTTTATCTTTTGTGATTCATATTCTTAATGCATGAGTGTTGCATTTATGCAAATGAATGGCAAACTTCTTAAAAAGCGTTGGAGCCCCAGTGTCAGAATGGTTAATACATGTTTCCACTTTTTGGGCCACCCAGTAGAAGAGCCAGGTAAGATGACAAGGACATTAGAATAGAATGGAGGATATCAACTCAGGCTTTAAATATTATCTTATTTGTTGCGAGATTTTTAGATGTGTAACATCATTATGACTACAGAGTCACAAAACAAGTCACTGTGAGTAGAGTTTATGTATCAAATAATATAGGCAGTATTGATTTTGTATGGTTTTGAATAGCCTGGTGATTTACTTTCATTTGCATCCTCCTACCTTTTCTTGAGTAAAGAGGTCCAGGGAAAATTAACACCAGTACATAGGGGCTGTTCATGATACTGGACCCTGAGGAGAGCTATCCATGAGTTTGCTAGTCATGTGTTATTTTTCTTAACTATATCAAGGTAGGTTAAAAACAAGAGTTTGGGATATTTGGCCTACTAAGAAAATCAAGGAACAAGAATATTGTATTTCAAATTACATTAAAAAAATTTAAAAATTCCAAGAATTTTCCTAGGAATCAATAGAAAAGCACATTGTATTTGATTTCCTTCATGAACTGTGATTATTTGTTTGGTATAAAATAAAAGCCCATTTTTATCTCAAAAAGGTAATCAAAGAACTTTACAAAAAATATCTTTATATCTTAGTCTCCCAGAGAGCACAGACTTTTTAAAAAATTAGTATGCAATAATAACTGAATTCCCTGCAGAGTAGAAAGATGCATGAAAATTTAAGATATTGAAGTATGGATCAGGAATTTTGAGAACCATGGGGAAGAAACTTAAGTATAAATCATGCCTCTCTCCCTCCACCTGCCCAATCCTTGCTGAGACTTTCCTCTCTGGTAGCACATTGACTGTAGGAAGAAGACTATGTCCTCAATCTGAAAACTTAGAAATGACTTACCTAAAGCAAAGATAAAATTACTAATTACTATTACTATTAAAGAAAAAGCCAACATAGAGGGAGAGGTAAAAGATAAAGCGAGAAACTAATTGAGGAAAAGAGAGTGATGGGATATCTGATCGAGAAACTCCTTGGAAGAAAGAGAAACTGTAATCAAGGACACTGCTCCCAGCACATTCTATTTGCTGATCCCATCAGTAAAATTTGGGGGCCATGACACACAAAGAGAATATCACTTGATCCAAAACACTGCTCTCCAAATGTCACCCATGAAAAGAAAATGAGGATTTGCTGGAGACTTGAAATATGTAAAGAAAGGAAGCTGGCCAATGATATCAGAAGGTTAGGAAGACATTTAAATGGCAGAGGCAAACTCATCCGGTTTGAATGACAGGAAGGGGACAGAACTGGAAACTCGATGAATTAGTAAGCTTTCAAACAAAGACAAAAAAATGCCTCCTGTTGACTGATGAGATGTTGAGCTTTCATTTATAGCTTCTGATCTTGATATTAGAAAAGTAAGATAGGAAATTCCAGTTATCTCTTCATGTTATGAATTAGTAAATTTCCAGTGAAAATAAGAAATTATTTGGAATATTGGGAGAACAAGAAGTCCTTCATTGTATTAACTCAAGTTAAAATTGGGCAAATCTGTCTTCATGGCCATGTTGACATGAGGCACAACTTCATAGGCCGGGACTAACATCTTAGGAATCACGAGAGGACTTGAAAACAAACATAATGACTCTCAAAGAATGTAAACTCTGTGTGTATCATAAAAATTGAGCTAATTGGTTATTTTCTTCCTAAATTGGTTCTTCCAGTAAGTTCTAAAAGGCCCACAGGGCATTTTGCACAACATAAAAATAAACAATATTCAGTAAATGGATGAAGTAATTGTTTCTCAACAGAAAACCTTCAATAAGCCAAGCTTCCCTACAGAGATTTGAAGTGAAAATTTTATACCCCTTCACTATAAATGAAATTGCTTTCTAAGCTTTCTGGGAACAGGTTTTTCTGCAAACAGAGCTGAAAATATAGATAACAATGAGAGACTCTAGACTTGGCACAGAAGGTTAAATAAAGATTTCTGAGATTAACATTCAGAAACATGGTACTCCAGTTTGCTTTGAGTAATGGGCAATTTAAATCACTGTGGCATTTTAACTTCTTGATCAGTTTCATAATATACCTTTATGTGTAATTTTTATTGGCCTTTCCTGTTGTAGCAAGAGGTTAATTATTTCCCTTAACTTTATGCAGTCTGCGGATGGTTTGGGATAAGTCAACGTAATTGCTCTAAGCTGCTCTAATGATCCATGCTATAATTCAGTGATGGCATTGAATTTATGACTTTTAAAAAACACTATTTGCTCAGAAAGTATAGTGTTGTCTAGGCAACGCTGACCTGTGCTTTAGGATGGCATTTAAGCATCCGTAATAACAGTGTGTTCCAGAACATGAAAAGTATGGGGTGCTCCATATACAAAGCAGGGTGCTTGAAGATACTGTTTTCCCTTTGCCTGTGTTCTGAAAATGATGGCAACTTATTCAACTCGGATTTAACAAACACACTGCCACTCCTCCTTTACTCAGGAAGTGCACCTCAGCAGAGATGAGACCGCATGAAGTCGAACTGATTACTGCTGCACAGAAAATTGACAATGCTATTTTGGGTAGTGCCTTCTGAGCATGTATTCTAAGGGCTGTTTGCATACAATTAGCTCCGAGAGAAAAGCACTCACCATGCATATGCTAGATAATGACAGTCCAGGAAAGGAACTATGTATTGATGAAACTGAGACAAAATAAACACCAGAGAAAAAGACAGGGTATCTTCTCACCTATAGCTACTCTCACACCTACAAGTTTGGCAGAAGCACTGTCCCCCCTGCAGTTCAAAGATAACCTGCAGACAGTGTTTAGAAAAATAATACTAAATTTTCATTCTTTCTGGTCTTTCATCTTATAAATCCAACAGTGTTGGTTTAGTGATCATTAGTCAGACAATCTACTAGGAAAAGAGAAGCAGAAGGGGAAAGGGTCAACTGTTAATGATCATATCTTTGAGGAAGGCAGCGGTGTAATCAGAAGTGGTCCTGTAGTTTTGCCAGACACACATGTTCCATGGAGCAGGCACCTGAAGTCCTAGAGTAGATGGAGACTGGCTTCACTCTGCAGCTGGGGAAACACTGAATTCAGACCAACAGACATGCCTTCATATTCGTAAGGATGGAACGAACAATAAAAGGTCATTTGCTTCACTTCAATTCAGTCTTTCTAAATGTATATTATCAGGTCAAATATATCTGGAGCTAAATGAATTTATATGAAAGTGACAAAAATTTTCTCTCTAGACGACTCAAATCTGTAGGGAACAAAAAGGACCTTTATAGAGGATTTCCAGTCTAAATGATTATATTCATCTGTGCACTTAATTCTTTCATGAGGCCCACGCAATAATTCATTTGAAATATTTGCATCTGCAAACAAAAGAATATCCTCAAAAATCACAAATACTCAAATATCAAATGATAATACAAACAAATAAAAATCCCAGACAAATAAGATAAATGATGGTTGATGGCTTATATATTGAAAGAAAACTTCAAAGAGTATAATAATTAAGACTCAGAGGGTCCCCACCCTGGGCTCTCTTCTTCTCTGCTCCCCGATTCAAATCAATGAAAACCCAAACCATCCACTTTATTGCTTATATTACAGAAAAAGTGAGGCAAAATGCTTCAGTGAGCAACCATGGGCTCCTGACACCTCATCCCAGAATGTGGTAGACTCGACTTAATTGGCACTTGTGAAAAACCACGGGTGCTACCCTTACAGGTAGGCCCAACTATGTAATAAACAGAACAGCAGGACATGCATCCCTACCCACCTGGCAGATACCAAATAGAGAATAGGGAGGGGGCCCATTATGCTAGGATCTTCCACAGAAATTCAGGAGCCAGACAAT